GCTATCTCTATCTTTGGCATTATACAAGAAGTCTGCCACATGGCACTACCTAAAGTGCGTACATCCCAGCAAAGTAGAAGCTTTCCTGTACGAAATACACGAAGGGGTGTGCGGAAGCCATCAAGGTGGAAGATCGCTATCTTACAGGGCCATTTCACAAGGATACTGGTGGCCATACATCTAGGCAGACTCAGAGAAATATGTGAAGAGGTGTGAGAAATGCCAAAAATTCGCACACCAAATACATCAACCAGCAAGAGAACTCCTACCATTAACTAGCCCATGGCCTTTCGCAATGTGGGGCTTGGACATAGTAGGACCACTTCCAACAGTACTAGGCAACAGAAAGTTCTTTCTCGCAGCAACAGACTACTTCACAAAATGGGTGGAAGCAGAAGCATTGGCATCGATCAAGGAAAGAGATGTGAAGAAATTCGTCTGGCAGAACATCATCACTCGGTTTGGCATACCAAAAGCCCTTATCTCAGACAATGGCACTCAGTTCGACGGCAGAATCTTCAGAAGCTTTTGTGAAGAATGCAAGATAGAATTCTACAATTCTACACCAGCATATCCTCAAGCAAATGGCCAAGCAGAAACATCAAATAAAGTCGTCTTGGATGGACTGAAGAAAAGGTTAGAGAAGGCAAAAGGCAAGTGGGCGGACGAACTTCCTCATGTTTTATGGGCTTACCGCACCACACCTCGACGATCAACAGGAGAGACACCATTCTCCTTAGCCTACGGAATAGAAGCAGTAATCCCACTGGAAGTTGGCCTCCCCACAATTCGAAGCGAAAATTTTGATCCAGACTTGAATGGAGAAGCCATAGCATTGGAACTCGACCTTGCGGAAGAAAGAAGAGAAAAAGCACTGGTTCACATTGCCTCATACCAACAAGAGTTATCCAGAAAATACAACAAGACAGTGCATCCAAGACAATTCAAGATCGGCGATTGGGTACTGCACAAAGTAATGAGAAACACCTTGATACCAGGAGATGGCAAGTTAGGGCCAAACTGGGAAGGTCCTTACAAAGTGGTTGGATTAGCAGGCAAAGGGGCATACCACCTAGAAGACAAGGACGGCAAAGCAATCCCTAGGCCATGGAACACGGCCAATCTCAAGTTATTTTACTTTTAGCTGTTCGCTTTCAAACATATATTCTCAATAAAACAAGCGATTCCTTTCAGCATGAGTTGTTCTCTGTAAAAGTTAGCTTTAGTGAAGTTTAGGTACATTACGAACATATTATTCTAAGTTAGCTGGAAAAACTAACTTAGAGGTTGGTTGGATTAAACCAACACCCCTCCTAAGCCCAGGATAAGGATCCAGGATCCAGGCTGCAGGACATTTGGTCGGAATAACCAAACATCATTCTAAGTTGGCTGGAAAAAACTAACTTAGAGGTTGGCTGGAATAAACCAACACCCTTCCTAAACCTAGGATAAGGATCCAGGCTGCAGGACGTTTGGTCGGAATAACCAAACATTATTCTAAGTTGGCTGGAAAAACTAACTTAGAGGTTGGCTGGATTAAACCAACTCTTGTTACTATTCAGCCAAAGTAAGTGCAAGGCTGAAGAGTGGTTGGCTGGAATAAACCAACTCTTGTTACTCTTCAGCTAAAGTAAGTGTAAGGCTGAAGAGTGGTTGGCTGAAATAAACCAACTCTTGTTACTCTTCAGCTGAAGTAAGTGTAAGGTTGAAGAGTGGTTGGCTGGAATAAACCAACTCTTGTTACTCTTCAGCCGAAGTAAGTGCATGGCTGAAGAGTGGTTGGCTGGATTAAACCAACTCTTCGTACTCTTCAGCCGAAGTAAGGGTATGGCTGAAGAGTGGTTGGCTGGATTAAATAAACCCTGTGTACTCCTCAGCTGAAGTAATTATGTCGGCTAAGGAGTGGTTGGCTGGTAAGCATGGTTAGTTTGACCAGCAAAAACCGAGATGAAAGTTGGAAATGAAAAGATTATGGAAAAATCATCACAAGTACAAACATACACATCAACCGAAGTACGAGTTCATGAAAATTTTCATTCAACAGAAAGCAATTACAAAGGAGGGGCATAGCCCGGTTACAAGAGTAAGGAAGTAGCAAAAAAAGAAAAAGTACAAAATCAAGAGAAAAGATCATCAATTTCGGCATCAATGTCAACTTGAATGCCGGTTGCAGATGGAATATCCGTCTCAGTAGCAACTGACAGAACGATATCAGTCGATGGCTCAACAGTCAGGTCTTCTACCGTTGCCTCTAACCGAGCTGATTGATCGTTGACTTGCGCATTGACTACCGGAATAACAGTTTGTTCGTTTTCATCGTCTGAATCATCTGAATCTTGCAAGAATTGTTCTTGGACCGAAGCAGCATATTCCGCAAGCGAGGCCGGAATGAAGTACTGTGGAGCATTGTAGACCTCGGTTTCAGGCCCGCAGCCGAGCTGCTCCACGGCACTTCTCCAGCCGCACTTGAAGAACAAATCCTTTGCCCCCTCGCATTGCGGAATGTATAGGCCCTCCGCCTCTTTGAAGCCTTGGGCGTTGGCATCACTGACTTTCTTCTTGAGTTCAGCTATTTCGGCGTCTTTTTTGCCTTCGAGTTTGACCAACTCGCGCAAATACTTGTCTTTCACCGTTGCTGCAATTTTTTGTTTTTCAGCTTCAGCCGAGCTAACAAGTCCGGTCAAGCGACCATTCTCGAACTGTAGCTCGGCTATCTACTTTTTGGTGCGCTCAAGATCGGCTGTCTTTGCCTCGGCTTCCACCATGGCATGCCTTGTTGTCTTACGGAGCTCCAACACTTTCTTATGGGCAATATTGTTCTTTTGAATGGCCTGCAAAAGAGTGGTAACTCTCTTTAGCCGAACTGACAGTTGGGAAAAAATTACGCAAAGAAAAACGAGAGCCACTTACCAGGATCATTGATTTGGTTGAAGACCGGATGGCCTTCAGCTCGGTGTTGAGTTGCTTTCGGTGGTGCTCCATATCTTTGGGGAGGCACACACTCTTGGCCAGGTTGAAGGCCAACTGGTGGTCCTTATCAGCAACAACCGAGTCAGAGTCTTGGATATCTCGGTTGTTGAAGGTAAGTTTTGGTGCCCAACTACTGGTAGTTCGGTCAGAAGGTTCCGGTTGGGGGCTCGATGGTGGGCTCTATGGAAGAACAGTTTCGTCTTCATCAACCAAGCATTGTTCAGTTTCGGTAGTCCGGGCGCGCTTGGTTCGATGGGATGAGGACGGTTGTTGCGTAGGAAGGGCCACCACCGCTTCTTGGGTCTGACTTGATGGTGGTACTTCGGCCCTGTTGGTCTCGGTCAAGAGGGCCCTTACTCTGTTCTTTTTGGTCATCTCCTCTTCAGCAGTTAGTGGAATTAGTCTGATTTGTGGTAAGGTTAGGTCCGGCTTTGGGGCGTCTTCAAGAAGAAAATCAGTCACTCTGGCTTTCCGGCGACCACTGTATCTATAGGTCGGCTCGAACTTCAGCAATTTGGCCCAACTACGTTCTGGGTACCGTAGTACGGTGCGCAAAGTGGCTAGGTTTGGGTAGCTATATAAAGAGTGAAGGTGGGCAGAATCTGCGAAAGAAGACAACTGTTAGTCCGGCTGAAAGATTAAAAAACTGAAATATAACAAAGCAAGCAAGAGAACCGAAGTAAGTATACCGGGCTCTCCTTTTTTCCAATTTATACGTCGACCAGGAATCTGGGCTTGATGATCCTCAAAGTTCCCAGACACCCAGAAAAAATCGTCGTCGTTTAAGTCTTTATCCGGTGTGTGTTTTATCATCTTCTCTCGGCGACGTCGTATTCTTAAATAGTAGACCCACCCATCTTCTTTTGAACCAATGGAGTATTGGTGGAAGATTTCGGCCAGGCCAAGGTTGAGTCCGGCTTGATAGTTCAGTTCGGCTATTCCCATTATGATGCGGTAGGAATTGGTGGATAGTTGGGTAGGGCACAGTCTAGTTTGCCTAAGAAACTCGCAAATTAAAGGTTGGACTGGAAATCGTAGTCCGGTTTCGATTATGGATAAGAGGGTAAAGGGGACAAAGCCTTCATTACCCCAAGGAATGACATCTTTTTCGGCCAAAATCAGGTGGACGTCATCGGGTATATTGTAGTCTTTTCTGAATTCAGCTAGGCCGCCCGGAGTATTTACTAGATATCTATACTTACCCATTTATTGTATAAATTACGAATAAATTAGATCGGTGCAAATATTGTGCTCAGTAGCTCGGTTGAGCGCGCAGGAGGAGTGCCTGGGCAACCTAAGTCTGCAAGGTAGAAAACAGAGGGGTTAAGCACAGACCATTGGACCGTGCTACAAAATAAAAACAAAAAATAGGAGCCCTAGTTCGGCTTTGTGGATACTACAGGTTCTCTCTCGGTTTCTGCAAGGTGATTGGTAGCTCGGTTCGAACAAGGGTTTTGTTAGCTAGACCTTGGCAAGCATCTCAACATACTGGTTATGGAAACGATTCAGTGATATTCATCATAAAATATGCCTATCTATTTGATTATCTGTTGTTTATCATGTTTATCCCAAACACTTATTCGATTATTTGTTGTTGTTTATCATGTTTGGGTCATATTTTCTCAATCTCAGATTAAGTTTATTTTCTTTTCTTAATTGATATTCAAAATCAAATTCAATGGGAAATCTTCGAATCAGACTTCTCGTCGCCGACGCTGTCCTTTAATTTCGTCACATTATGGGGTTTGATACAAACAATCTAAAATCAAAATATTTGGTTTGGTTAGATCAATCTTGAAGTATATTGCAATCAACAATAGCAGGTACGAATGAATATTGCAGGACCTCACCTCTGCTTCTATCAATAGGTAAGGGTTCAAGCAAATGAGACAGAAAGGAAAATGGGAGGAGAAAAGAAAGAAAAAAATAAATAAATAACCAAACACGCCGTTTTGAACCATGGCAGGGGACGCTGCAGGAAAGAACGGCAGAGGATCCGGACTCGCGTCGGCACTGATAGTATCGTTGCTAGGATTGCTTTTAGAGTGAGTGAGCGAGCGAGACATCCTTACATTCTACGATTACTGAAAGCAATCAAAGAGATAGCATAGTTGCTCAGAGAACCATTGCTAGAAGGGTCACTACTAGAGATCATCTTTAGGGTGAGATAGCGAAACATCCTTGGAGCATCTCCAATAACGTTGTCAAAGGAGATGCCAAAGTTATAATTTGACAAGAGTAAAAAAAAAGGGTCTTCAATAGAATTACCTGTCAAATATAACAAATGCCATTTCTAGTGTCAAATTTAACAGGAGGTTTGGCATTTGTCAAACATGCCACATCATCAAAGATATTTTGACTCCAAAGTGAATATAAACAAACAAAATAGTGTAAATGAATCATTTGCAACAACACAATCAAAACAAAAATAGAAATAAATTGAACAAATTATATTAACAAATAAAAAAAATATAATTATTACAAAAATAAAAACATTATTTTTCCTTCATCATGGCAACGACAATCACGAAGTACAAGAAGGCTATGGAGGAGATGGAGAACAAACCTCAATCTTGATGTGACTTCACCGTTTACTCTGAATCAGTTGCCGAAGAGCACGCTCGCTACACCACTACCTCCATCAAGGTTGATTTCATGACATTGGTTGATTTGAGAGAGGGTTTTGGTTTAGGAGAGTTTGAATGAGGATTTTGGTTTGGGAGGGTTTGAATCAGGGTTTGTGAGGGTTTGAATTTAGGTTAACCATTGGGTTTAAATGAGGGTTTCAGTGAATCGATGGAGAAAGGGTTTGACAATTTTGGACTGAATGGGTTTTAGAGGATTTCATTGGGTTTCAAATTGATCTTCGCCGGAGCTGAAAAAGGAGACAGAGGAAGACCTTGGGTGAGTGAGAAACCCTCTGAATAAAGAGGTTGTGTGGTTGGAGATGCTCTAATCGATGGAGGTTTTCGATTAATCGATGGACGTTAACAAGAAGAGACTAATCGATGGAGATGCTCGATTAATCGATGGAGGTTTTCGACATATTCAACTGCCGGAGTTGAAAAAGGGGAGGGGGAGAGAGAAAGCAGAAGGAGAGAACAAGAGTGAGAGACAGAAGATGAAAGTGAGAGATAGGAGTGAAGGTTCTAGATAGAGCCGTTGGGTGAAGTAAATTATATATATATATATATATATATTAATTTTTTCAATTTTTAAAAAAATTTTATAATTTTTTTTTAGAAAAGTCATACAAGACAAAAAAAATTAAAATAAAATAAACAATAAAAAAAATTACTCAAAAATTCATATCAAAACATCACCTACAAAATTGAAAGAAAAGTTGATTGTAATTTGCCAAAATGCCATGTGATTATTGGAATACCATTGCTATAATTTAATAATTTGTTACTGTAAATTGCCAAATTATAATTTTGGAAATACTATTATAGCAATTTTTCATTAGAATATATCATGCAATCACCATGATTTTTTTTTCTTTGCTTTACCAAATGATTAAGACATTATTTACAAACATAAATATATATATATATATATATATATGAGAGGATAATTTTGGTGAAAATTGGGCCAAGCTATAAGATTGTCATAGTGGCCCACAATACAAAGGGCTGAGTAAAAAAGGCCGTAAAAGTTACTCCGGCCTAAGAGAGGTACAGAATTACTCCGGCCCAAAATACGTATAAAGTTACTCCGGTCTTGTGAATGTTTTGGAGTTAGTCCGGTCCTAAGACTGCGGAGTTAGTCCGGACCGACATAAGAACGAGGTTATATCGGTCTAATGGTACCTTTGAGTTAGACAGGTCTTGGAGTTATACCGGTCGCGATTTGTTAGTTCGGTCCAACCATGTCATGTGCTGTGCATGAGAAGCCGACGTAAGAGAAGTAAAAGGAAGAACTAGTTTGGCTTATTCTACGGCTTTGCATAGTCGTGTTTACTTCGGTCGTATTGGAGTTCGGCCATGATAATACCATCTCACTTGGTTTAAGCAATGAAGGGGGTGTTGAAGGATAAGCATTATCTTTCAGGAATATGAATCCTAGGAGGACTCTGCATGGAGGAATAAAAGTCCTACTAGGATTGTGCCACACGAAACCTATAAAAGCTCACAAACATCACCTTTGGAGAGGTAACACCCAACTTTGCTTTCTGAATACACAAAGCTTTATCTATTTGCCAGGCTTGCTGACTTAGGCATTGGAGGGGTTTCCGGCACACACCCGCCGGCTAGCTCACATTTGTGTTTTCAGGTGATAAAGCGACGCCGTATGGAGGAGCGCAGACTTGGTCAACAGGATTATACGAGAAGGTGTATTTCTTTCCCATACAATATATATACACAATCACAATATCCAACAATTATAAAGTGGTGAAAACGTATTTTACATTTGCATGGATATTTTTATACATTCTATTTTACGTATGTGTATACTAACGTATAACTCGTACTATACATGGGGTTGAACAATAATCGATAAAATTAGTTTTTAATGAATTAATTTTTTTTACAATAAATTATCTCTTTTTTTGAATTTTTTAGTCTTTAATGATTTTTTTTTTAAAATTATGTCAATTTTTTTTATTTTCCCCATTCGTCTTGTGTAGATGAGTATGTATAAAAAGTAAAAACTGAAAAATTGTATATAAATAAATTGAAAAATACAAAAAAAAAAGTTTATTATTTTTTTTGTTTATTTGTCTTTTTCGAATTTTTTTTCAAACTCTTAAAAAAATTCAAATTATATATGTTTAAAGTTTCAATTCGTCTTTTCTTTTTAAATTGGATGTTAGGTAATAAATGGTTAAAATTTTTGTTTTGACTCATTTTTTTTAAATTTTTTTTTTATTTTATTTCAAGTTAGATATGATTAGATGTATTTTATGTCACATGTATATTTTAATTTAAAGAAAATTAAATATGTTCAAATTTTAGACTAAAATAATAAGTGGAATTACTTTTGAGTGTAATTACATTTTTACTTTTTCAAAACTTTTTTTTTTAGTTAGGTATGGATATGACTACAAATTTTATTTTTTTTACTTTTATATAAAAAAAAATTTAATTTAAAATTATAGAAATAGAATACAGATATAGATAATATTGTTAATATATGCCATAAATAGTTCACAAATTAAAAAAAAAATTCATATTAATCAAGGAATCAATTAAAACTTTAAAGTTAAACAACCAATGGTAATTTTCCATGTGTATTTATATAATTTTAAAAAAAATTAAAATTTTATGAAAATAGAGTTTGAACTTGGAGATCAAAAGCCTAACAGATAGATATATATTTACATCTTAATTTCATTTTGAGCATAAAGAAAATTGTAGAAAATATATATATATATATATATATATTTTGAATCAGGTAGGAGCTCTGTTTGCACCTTTTACCCATTGTACAGAAGGGTGTGTTATGGACTTGGTTACCCGTAGCTGGGTTTTCGTTTTTGTGTTTAGATTACTGTACCGTTAAAAAAAAAAAGTTCCATAGTCTCTCAAGTTGATTTATGGGTTTCTATACTCCCTCTCCTCCTCTTTCTAAAGTTGGTTGGCTGCCTAAGTTGTATTCAAGCTTTTAGAGAGAACCAGAGGTTGTCGTTGGTGGATCGCGAGAGTGGGGAGTGGTGCAGCAGTGGTGAGGCGACTCTCACACTGTCTCGGATTGAAGCAGATTGCGACATTGGAGGTTCGGTTTCTGGGTATAGGAGAGTGGCTAGATTTTTGTATTGTTTGTTTGAGGGTGGTGAATCGAACTTCGAAGTCGCGAAAGGGGAAGAGAGACGAGTCGGGCAGGGAGATAAAGGAGGGAAGAAAAGTGCTATGTCGCGGATGGGCTGCGAAGCAATCGGTTGGGCTGTCGGAAGTTGAGTTCTGATTCTGGTTTGGCTGCTAGGGCTGGGTTTTGTTTGGGTCTTGATCGAAGGACCTGTGCGTGAGCCATCAGCAGCAAGGGTTGGGTGTCGATCTGTTTGATTCGGTAAAGTTGGGTTTCTAAGGGTTATTGCTATGGGTGGATTCTGAGAGGAGCAACGACCAGGAAGGGAAAGTGAAGTTAAATTATATATATATATATATATATATTAATATTTTTTCAATTTTTAAAAAAATTTTATAATTTTTTTTTAGAAAGGTCATACAAGACAAAAAAATTAAAATAAAATAAACAATAAAAAATTACTCAAAATTCATATCTAAACATCACCTACAAAATTGAAAGAAAAGTTGATTGTAATTTGCCAAAATGCCATGTGATTATTGGAGTACCATTGCTATAATTTAATAATTTGTTACTGTAAATTGCCAAATTATAATTTTGGAAATACTATTATAGCAATTTTTCATTAGAATATATCATGCAATCACCATGATTTTTTTTTCTTTGCTTACCAAATGATTAAGACATTATTTACAAACATAAATATATATTATATATATATATATGAGAGGATAATTTTGTGTGAAAATTGGGCCAAAGCTATAAGATTGTCATAGTGGCCCACATACAAAGGGCTGAGTAAAAAAAAAGGCCGTAAAAGTTACTTCGGCTAAGAGAGGTACAGAATTACTCCGGCCCAAAATACGTATAAAGTTACTCCGGTTCTTGTGAATGTTTTGGAGTTAGTCCGGTCCTAGACTGCGGAGTTAGTCCGGGACCGACATAAGACGAGGTTATATCGGTCTAATGGTACCTTTAGTTAGACAGGTCTTGGAGTTTATTACCGGTCGCGATTTGTTAGTTCGGTCCAACCATGTCATGTGCTGTGCATGAGAAGCCGACGTAAGAGAAGTAAAAGGAAGAACTAGTTTGGCTTATTCTACGGCTTTGCATAGTCGTGTTTACTTCGGTCGTATTGGAGTTCGGCCATGATAATACCATCTCACTTGGTTTAAGCAGTGAGGGGGGTATTGAAGGATAAGCATTATCATTTTCAGGAATATGAATCCTAGGAGGACTCTGCATGGAGGAATAAAAGTCCTACTAGGATTTGTGCCACACGAACTATAAAAGCTCACAAACATCACCTTTGGAGAGAGGTAACACCCAACTTTGCTTTTCTGAATAACAAAGCTTTATCTATTTGCCAGGCTTGCTGACTTAGGGCATTGGAGGGGTTTCCGGCACACACCCGCCGGCTAGCTCACATTTGTGTTTTCAGGTGATAAAGCGACGCCGTATGGAGGAGCGCAGACTTGGTCAACAGGATTATACGAGAAGGTGTATTCTTTCCATACAATATATATACACAATCACAATATCCAACAATTATAAGTGGTGAAAACGTATTTTACATTTGCATGGATATTTTTATACATTCTATTTTACGTATGTGTATACTACGTATAACTCGTACTATACATGGGGTGAACAATAATCGATAAAATTAGTTTTTAATGAATTAATTTTTTTTACATAAAATTATCTCTTTTTTTGAAATTTTTTAGTCTTTAATGATTTTTTTTTTAAAATTATGTCAATTTTTTTTTTTATTTCCCCATTCGTTTGTGTAGATGAGTATGTATAAAAAGTAAAAACTGAAAAATTGTTATATAAATAATTGAAAAAACAAAAAAAAAGTTTATTATTTTTTTTGTTATTTGTCTTTTCGAATTTTTTTCAAACTCTTAAAAAAATTCAAATTATATATGTTTAAGTTTCAGTTCGTCTTTTCTTTTTAAATGGATGTTAGGTAATAAATGGTTAAATTTTGTTTTGACTCATTTTTTTTAAATTTTTTTTTATTTATTTCAAGTTAGATATGATTAGATGTATTTTATGTCACATGTATATTTTAATTTAAAGAAAATTAAATATGTTCAAATTTTAGACTAAAATAATAAGTGGAATTATTTTGAGTGGAATTACATTTTGACTTTTTCAAAACTTTTTTTTTTAGTTTAGGTATGGATATGACTACAAATTTTTATTTTTTTACTTTTATATAAAAAAAATTTAATTAAAATTATAGAAATAGAATACAGATATAGATAATATTGATAATATTGCCATAAATAGTTCACAATTAAAAAAAAATTCATATTAATCAAGGAATCAATTAAAACTTTAAAGTTAAATAACCAATGTGAATTTTTTCATGTGTATTTATATAATTTTTAAAAAAAA